TTTATGATTCAGCACCTACCGAACGAAGAGGGTTCCTCGGCGTCTGTGCATGAATATGCGGTCGATGAGCCCTGTCTGGCCCCGTGGTGCGCAACGACGGGCGAAGGTGCCACGTTTTATTGCACGCCCCGGGGGGTCATCCGGCTTTATGAAGCGGAGATTTCCGGGGTTACCGACGAAGCGTTCACCCGGGAGGCGTGGACCCGGCTCCAACCATCCTCTTACGCGCTGACGTATAACCAGAACCGTCTCCTCCTCGTTCGTAAGGATGGGTCGTGGGTTTTCGCATGGAGCGAATATGCTCAGGACCGGGAGCGGTCGGTCAGTCGGTCGACGTTCCAAGGAACTGCTATCTGGGAATCCCCGAAAGATAATTTCATCGCGGCCGGCCCGAGCGGGGACCTTCACCAGTGGGCCAGCGCCACATACTATACCGAAGCGTCATGGCACTCCCGGACGTGGACATGCCCGGAATACTGGGGTGCAGGCGCGCTTAAAGTCGAAGTGGACATACGGCAGCCGTGGGACAGCGCCGCCGATCGCGTATGGATGTTATTTAGAAATTGGATACAGACCAACGGAGCGTGCGGTGCGGCTGCGTTCTGGGAGAAATACCCGGAATATAGGAAATACCGCCCGTTCGTCGATTATCGACTGTCGCCCCCGGTTGTGGAATTATTTTGTGACGGTGCCCGCTATTGTCGTATAGAGGTGGACACGCGGCATCCGATCCGGCTCCCCCGACACGGTAAAGGGCTTTACTGGTCCCTGCGGGTCACCAGCCGGTATAGGATATTGCGCATTATGGTGGAGCGGGCAATTCAGGATATGGCCGCGCCTACTGAACCCCAGGGAGTGCTATAAATGGCACAATCGGATAAACTTCTGGGGACGTGGCAGAACCGCCTCGTTCCTGCGTCCCTCGCCAAAGGATCGACAGCGGTTGATCGTCCGGGCTCTCGCGCGGTTACACCGCCCATTCAGGTCGGGACGCTACAGTTCGGGTCATACAATCAGGCAGACGCCCGCGCCCGCATGTATGACGGAAGCCCGTTCGCGCCGGATGACAGTATGGTGCCGGCCGCGCCTATCACAAGGAAACGTAAATGATCCAGATCAAAAGGCTCGCGGTCAGCGCGACCCTCATGTGCGCCGTTAGTGTAGCCGTTGTCGGCTGTGGTGCGCAGAAGACCGTTAATCAGGCCGCCTATGACGGGCTCGCTGCCTATCAGGTGTCCGGGCACGTAGCCGACGGCTATCTCACCTCGGGCATCGCTACCCCAGCCTCGGCACAGATTATCTCCACCGCGTCGGATGCAGCCCTCAAGCCGTTGCAGACCCTCGCGGCGGATATCCATAGCGGGACGACGGTTTCGCAGCAGGAAGTGGCGACGGCCCTGTCCGCCATCGCCGCACTACAAAAAGCGGTGGCGTCTGTGCAGGCGGCGAACGCGGCATCGACTGCAACCACATCGGGAGTATCCAAATGAATTTCTCCACCATTGCCGCCATCGCCACACCGGCGATTTCCCTTATCGTGGCACTCATCAAAGAGTTCCCGGAAATTGAGGAGATCGTGGTAGACGCGATTGCCAAAAACAAGAAGGGCGTCGAAGTCACCGATGACGATATCCAGGCGCAGCTTGCGAAGGCGAACGCGCTCGGGGCGCAGATCGATGCGGACGCCGCGGCCGTAGTCGCCAAGGGATAATCCGCCAACCACCAACAGGAGACCATGCGATGGCGAAACTCACAACGAAAGCCCGTAAGGCGCTGCCAAAAAGCGACTTTGCGGGTCCCGGCCGATCTTATCCGGTGAACGATAAAGCGCACGCGGCGAACGCGAAGGCCCGGGCCACCCAGGCGGTTAAAGCCGGACGTATGAGCGGTTCTGAACGCAGCCGCATTGATGCGAAAGCGAACAAGGTTCTGGGTAAGACGAAAGGCGGTAAGAAATGACCGCGGTAGTCGATACAGCTACAGGAACCCTCCTACTACTGAAATCCGTTCTGGAACGGATGCAGGCCGGCGAGATCGCCGCCGCCTCTGCCGTCATCATCCTTGGTGACAAAGAGGGGAACTGTATCCGGGTCGGGCGTTCCGCCCAGAATGTTGGAACCTCCACACGTCTCGCGGAGAACGGGTTTATCGCGCTCCGGCAGGATGAACCAAAGCCCCGCCGTCAGCCCGAGGGGGAGCTGCGTGACGCTTATTGTTTTCCGGAACGGTGTCCTTGCCGCTGACAGTCTCAGCACGGACCCGTATTACACCATTCATAGTCGAAGCACGCCGAAACTGACATATCTCCCCTCGCTCAATGCGGTAGCCGGTATCAGTGGGGATTATAATTTGGCGCAGGTCGCTCTACACGCGGCCGACACCGATTGTCCGCTCCCGGCGGGTAATTACAGTATGTTGTTGATGACTGCGGATCGTAAGATTTATGTGAAGCAGGGGGATGCGGCATCCTTGGTCCTCCATTCTGAAGGCGACCGTCCCTTCCTCGCTATCGGGAGCGCGTTCGAGTTTGCTTATGGGGTTATGGCTGGGGCTCCTGATATGAGCGCGGAACGTGTGGTCGAGGTGTGTTGCCAGCATCGACAGGATCTTGGGGGTCTGGTGCAGGCGGCATCTTGGGAATCCGCCCATAGTATCGCGCAGTGGAAAGAACTCCCCCGACATCGGAGAATTTTTAATGGCTAAAGCTGCTAAATCGTCTGGTAAAATGACGATGAAGAAATACGTCAAGTCCGGACAGGATCGTTCGGAGGACGCCGCGAACGCCAAGGTCGTCGGCATGAAGACTTCGACGTTTAAAAAGACGCCCCAGGCGAAATCGATTGATCGGGCGATTGTATCGCTGGATAATAAGAAAGCCGGCGCAAAAGGGAGTAAGTCCAGTGGCAAGCGAAAATAAGAAACCGACGACTGCGGTGAGCGTGGGAACCGGTTCCAAATCAACCACCGCGACAAGCACGGGGAAAGGGAGTAAAAGTCCTTTCACCTCGAACCTTCTCTGCAAGTAGGAGCCTCTATTATGGCGCGATCCCGTTCCGCGAATAACCTGTTTGACGTGTCCGGGATCAAGCCCGCCGGCACGTATCAGAAAGACATTGGCTCCAACGCCATGAAAACAAACCCGGCGATCCGGCAGGTCCGGGTCCCGAATCAGAATATGCCGGGGGGCGGCTCCAAAAAGCCTGTCGCTCCGTCGGTCCCGCTGGGGACGACCTACAACCGTAAGTGAGATGAGGTAAGCTATGTCGGGCAGTTCCGGGACAACTTCTTCTGGCACTGTCACGTCTGGCGGCACCGCTACCGGGCCAGAAACCAACACTGCGTCCGGCGGCACCGCTACGGCGGCGGAAGAGGGCGCAACCGCCAATGCCGGCTCTGCTGCAATCCAGCAGATCATGCCCAAACAGAATAACGGCCAGTGGATGGCTATCGGCAGTATGGTCGGTAGCATCTTCGGCCGGCTATATGACAGCACCACCCTGTCCAAAGCCCAATCCGCTGAGGACACATGGGTAATACTGACCGGCGACGTCAAAGACAAGGGACTGGCTGAGTTCCAGACCCATGCGGAAGTTCTGACTTCCTGCAACGATACGCTATGGGCAGATCTCTGCTCGTTCGCTGAAAAGGGCTATTGCCCGAACTATACGCAGATCCTCGTAAATGTTCGATCCGCTGCGGCGGCAGCGTTTGATGCGCAGCTTCGAAGCGCCCGGCGTATGGGAACGCGGTTCAATTCCGGACTGAACGCTGATGTAGCGGTGCGGCTCCGTATCGGAGAAGGGCTGGCGGTAACGACGGGATACGCGGTCGCTGCGGAACAGGCCCGTCAATTTATGTGGTCCTCCAATTTCGATATGCTGAACACGGCCGCGCGTGGCGTCGAAGAAGCCCGACTAGGCCGCATCCGTATCGGCGGCGAACTGGTAGCGGCCGCTGGGCAGAACTACGCCAATGTGGCACAATCGCTACGGCAGACGGCAGCTATGGACGTAGGCGACTGGTCGACGCTCGGCTCGCTCCTGGGCGTTGTGCTGCCTCTGCTGTTCGCGTGGGGCTGTTCTCCAACTTCGGGGTGTGACTGATGACGTTTGATAAATCCGCCCGTATCGGGCAGTCCCCATTTTCTGGTAATCCGATAAACGGGCTGGCCGCAGGTGCGAGGGGCAATCTCGCTGGCGGTGGCGTATCGCGCCTTGTGGATCAATATCCGGTCGTTGCTACTGCCCGGCCGCCTAAAGGGTTTCCGGATTTTCCGGTTCCGCAGCAGTCCGCGGGGCAGGTAAATTTTCTGAATAACAATTATCCGATAACCCGTGAGGCATCAGTGACCATCCCGGGTGACACCTCTACCATGAGCGACGGCGCGGCTCTCTTCAGCGGCGTTCTGGGTATGCTGGGAGACATGGCGTAATGGCGAATGAGTTTACGTTTGCCCCGGACCCGGCGTACGGTTGGGGCGGCTCCGGCGCGGTTATGGGCCGGGCGCTGTTCGCTGGCCTGACCAATGGGCTTGGCATCCAGAAAATGTATGCGGACCAGGAACAGGACGACCTGCGCAACTATGGGATGCGGGCACAGCTTGGCGGGATGCTCCAAACACTTCCCTCGTCCATTGCTGCGCAGAACGCGGGTAACTGGGCGCATGTGCAGCAGTCCAACCTCGGTAACCTGACAAATCAGATCGGCATCGGCTCTATGTTGGGAGGGATGGGACAGCCGGTTCAGCCGTGGGGTTACACGCCCGGCGGCGCGGCCGGTCAGTCTTCGCAGGCCGTGCAGTCACCCGCGGGTATTCCGCATCCATATCAGCCGCAGCCTGTAGCGCCCCCGCAGTCTGGCGGCACCGCGCCTGTCGGCCAGGCGTATAATCCGCAGATGCCGGACCCTATTTCGTGGCAGGATAATCCGGCGGCATCCGGGGGGTATGGTCCGGTATCAGATGACTGGTGGGCCGCGGCCCTGCGCGGAGCCGGCTACTGATGGCGCGCACGCTTATTGATCCCCTCGCTCCCCAGCAGCCGTATACGCCAGCGCAGGCATACGGTCCCATGACGTTGCCGACTGCGGGCAGCAACATCCTCGCCGGGATCGCCAATACGGTAAACGGGGCGCTCCCGCGCATGGTAAAGCCGCTCCCCGGCGAAACCCCGGATACGCCGTGGGCTCCGTGGATGCAGGCGGCCGCGCAACAGCCGCAGGTTCCGCAGCAGGCGGCACCAGCATACGGAACACCCTCCGCGGTATGGCCCGGCGGTGAGCCGGCGACGGCAGCACCCTCCGGGATGCCCGCGATCACGCCGGGTATAGGCGCGTCATTTCAGCAGGCAGAATTTGCCCCGGCACTTCAGGCGCTCCGGATGGCGACGCAGCCACAGACTTCCCAGCAGGCTGCCCCCGCGTATGCGCCACCTACGCCAGCCCCAGCCCCTGTCGCCTCGGGCTATACGCCCCAGACAAGCCAGAACCTTAACTGGCAGGACCCGAGAGCGGTTACCGTGCGTGCTGCGCAGCAGATGCTCGGGATCAATATGCCGGCCGCGCAGCGGTCGCTTCAGCAGCAGCAGCAGAACGAGGTCTACAATGGGACGCAGGCGGGTCAGACGTTTACGCAGATGCTTGCCGCGGGTATTCCTGCCCCGCAAGCTGCGGCCCTTACGCATCTGTCTGGTGCGCTTGGTAGTCCGCAGGCTGCAATGGGTTACATGGATAGCCCGCAGGCAGCGCAGAACGCACAGACCCTTTCGGCCTATCAGCAGCAGCTTTTGGGGCATGGTCTGCTGACCGGGGATATGAACCCGGTGAATCAGTTTATGCACGAGGGTGGTTCATACTACACCCCGGGCGCACCGCGAGGATACGAATACGGCACGGATACCCGGGGCATGCCGGAACTGTATACGACCGAGGCGAATGGGCGGCAGACTGCGGCCTCTGACCCGCTCGCCTCTTCCGTGCAGATGACGCCCGACCAGATGCTGCAGATGCGCAGTGGCATGATGCAGCGGCAGTTCCAGTCACAGGAGAACAGCCGTAAGGAGATGGCCACCCTTCTCGGCTCGATCTATCGAAACTACGGGGCCGCGTCGCAAGGGCAGCGTATGTTGTCCATGCTGTCCCCGGCCGTCCAGCAGGGCTGGCTCACCCCGGAACAGGCGCGTGCCGTGTTTACCTCAACTATGACCGGCGTTAATCCCTATATGATGGATGGCGGCGGAGACGGGGGGCAGTAATGGATTATGGCGCAATGCTGCGCGGGTATGCACAACAGTACGGTGTCCCGTCTGACTATGCGTCGTATATCCAGCAGATTGAAAATGCCCCGCAGAACCCGGCCGCAGTTTCGGGAGCCGGTGCAGTCGGGTTGATGCAGCTTATGCCGGGAACGGCTGCGGGATATGGGGTGACGCCAGCCCAACTTACCGACCCGGCGATAAACATGCAGACGGGTACTCATCTCCTCGGGGACTTGTGGCATCGCTATGGCGGCAACCCGGACCTTGTGGCGATTGCTTATAATGCCGGCCCGGGCTGGGCGAACCGATACCAGAACGGCCAGATCGGGCTGAATGGACTACCAGACCAGACACAAGGATATCTGGCTAAACTTCATGCCATGATGGGCGGCGCGCCGTTGCCACAAACCCAGCCACAACCGCAGTTCCAGCATTACGCCGCCGGAACCGGCATCAACGGACTTATTGGCGCGGGTATGCCGGCCGGGTTCGGCCAGCAGCCGGCGATGGGTAATGTAGCGCCCCCGCTCGGATCGCCGTATAGTGCCCCTCGAACGCCAGTAATGGATATGGGGGGTCGAATGTCGGGGTCTATGGTGCCAATTCCGGTAATGAGTGGTTTGGTGGCGCCGGGGGGCGCAGCCCCAAGGTATGCCACCGGCGCCGATGCCCTCCGCCCCTTCGGGCTTGCCTTACGGGGCGCCTCCGCCTTCGGCTGAAACCCAGTTTCCCGGCGTGCATTATAGCGCGCCGCTACCGGGTGTTTTCATGACCGATACTCCGCAGTCACCGCCTGGTATGGATATGGCGGAACTGGGTCGGCTGTCCCAGGCCATCCAGCAGATGACGGGGGGCGCGGCACAGCAGCCCCAGCAGCAGATCCCTCCTGCACTCCGGCAGCAGATGGAACAGGACCAGGTTACGGCGGCGCTGCGTGCGAGGGGGATAACTGATCCGGCCATTTTCGGACAAGGAGAGGGATACGGTGCTGCCGACCTCGCCCGGTATCCGCAGTTCAATCCGGCGAACCCCCAGTCATACGCCTCGATCCCCACGGGCTCCATCTATCAGGAAACCACCGCCGGCCAGAATGGCGCGGGGGAACTGGGGACCGGCGTATTCCGACGCAAAATGTCTGCGGCCGTCCAGAATCATACGGCCAACCCGCAGGTAAATACAGCGCCGGGTATGTTCGGCGCCGCCCGGGATGAAGTATCTGCGGCCGGGAACCAGATTGCCGGCATGACGGATAACGCGATCGCCACAGGATTGCGTGCCATCGGCGCTACAGGCCGCGCACGGGAATACGCACAGGCTGGCTCGAACCGCGAAAACGCCGCGCAGGTTCAGGGTAAAATTGGTGCCGCAGCCGGTGGTATTATCCCTATCCTCGGCGCGCTGGCCGCAGCCCCGGAAACACTGGGCGCGAGTGGCGCTCTGGCTCTTGGGGCTGGCCTGTCTGGTGCGCAGGGGCTGACGGAAAGCACCGGACACGCGACCGCCGCAGGTTCAGGACCGGGCCAGACGGCGCTCGATGCGCTTGTTGGTGGGGCTGGCGGTGCCGCCGTTGGGGCTATCACACCTACCGCCGGGCGATCGATCATCGAAGGTTTGGCGTCTTTGGTAGGTAAAGATGCAGCGGCCAAAGCGGCTCCGGGACTGTTGCGCAGTATAGCGGAAGGCGCGGGCACGTTTGGCGTAGGCAACACGGCGGTGCAGGGCGCGCAGCATCTGATCGACCCGACGGCTTTCGGCGCACCAACCTCGGGCGATATACTGGGCAATATGGCCTTCGGTGGCGCGCTTGGCGCGCTCCACCATGTGAGCCAGCCGGCTGTCCCGGACCCGCTACAGCTTACGCATGATCCTAATTTTAACCAGCCCCCGCCGGAAGGGGGTGAGTCGCAAACACCGCCAGTATCCCCGGAAACCCCCGGTAATCCGACGCAGAATGGTGAGTCTATCCCCCCGGAAGATTTCCCACCGGCCGCACCGGCTGCGCCGCCGGCAGAAAGTGGCGCCCCGGGGGAACTACCCGCGGAAACGCCGCCGGGCGAACAGGCCGCTCCCCCCGAAGGCGCACCAGCGGAGACGTCGGGTGGCGAACAGGAGCCTGCGGCCGAACCACCGGCAGCCGAACCATCCCCTCGTGCCCAGCCGGTAGAAGCGGGTGAAGTGCCGCCGGTCACGCAGTTTACTCCGCAAGCGGTTCAAATGGGGCTCGCGCGGCTGGCGCAAGACCACGCCCAGGCGATCCAGGCGCTCCACGACGTGCTGTCCAATCGCAACGTCGATAGCGAAGGGCGATATAAAATGCCCGAGCGGCAGTCTGCGGTAACGCCCTATATGGTGTCGTCGGACCTTAACGGGCTGACAGCCAAAGAACTGGGCGAACGTGTCGCCGCCACACAGGCGTATCATACGGCATTGGCACGAGAGGCTGCGACGGCCGGAATAACGGATATCCCTCCGCTATCCCCCGCCGATCCGGATACCGCCTCTGCGTTGCGGGATCATGTGCCCCTAACCAGCACTGAGTACGGCGACGACGGAACGGCTCGCGTCATGCTGCATGAGCGTCCCCCCGCGCAGCCGGACGAACAGACACCGGATGCACAGATCCTTAACAGCCTCCGGGAACAGTCTGGTATTCCGCTGGGCGAACCGAAAGCCATTCCGTCGGAAACACTGGGCCGCATGGCGCCGGAGATCCGGGACACACTGGCGCGGCAGGACAGGGTGATGCGCGCGTATGAAACGCCGCAGGCCCGTATGAGCGCGGAGTATCTGCGCCGGCAGTCCCAGCTTATGGATAGTCTGCCGGATGAGGATCTGCGTAAAATACAGGCGGAAGGCGATAAGCCAAAAGCGGCGGCCCACTCGATCATACTTGGTGAACGAGCGCGGACAATATTGGAGGGTCGCCGCCTGGGGAGTCGCAAGGGGCGGAAACGCCCCGGATTGAAAACTGCCTGTAACCCCGGAGTGAGCGATGGCCGAAGATAACCGACCAAGAGAGTGTGGTGTAGACGGGGTGGCGTTTAATATGCCCACCCCGGAGAATTTCCCTCCGTCCAAACAAGGGGGTGCCGGAACTGACTGGGTTACCCCCACGAAAGCCGTGCATGATATCAACCCGGAGCGCATCACGGGGGCGACCCTCCTGCGTTACGGGGACAGTTCGCTGGAAGCGGGATACGCTTTCCACGACCCCGAACTGGGATACGGCACACATACCAAGGGAACAGGCCCGGTATATTTTCCGACCCCCGAGGCGCGGCGTGCCTACTGGGACCAGCAGAACTTAGAGCCGACGGCCACGGCGGATCTGTATGTCCCCTCGCGCTACGCCCTTAATTTCTCCACCCCGAACGAGTTCTCCAATGCGCCTCCGTGGCTGCGGCAGGCTGCTATGTATCTCGCCCGGCTTGATGGGAATGTCTGGTCTGGCTCCCAAACCCTCCGGGCGCTTCAGCAGCGTGCCGAGTTCGCGCAGCTTGGGCGGTGGGAGCGCATGGTGTGGCGCTGGAACCAGTCTGCGGATCTGGATATGAACCGTATCCTGTCCGAAATGCCGGACCAGCGGCTTGAAAACACGCTCACCGGGCGGATGCTCAATGCCGCGAAATGGACTGACGCCAACCTACTGGACGATCTCTCGGTGGTAGACGACGCAGAAGTCCGAGGGGTAAATCCGGAAACCGGTGAAGCCCTACGCGACGAAGCGCGTCCCGCCCTCGAACGCCTCCGGGGGCAGATGGCGGCGGCCGTCAACGGCGAACAGTCTATTGTCAAACTGTTCCACCGGCAGTTCCGTGACTTCATAAAAAAGAATGGTCTGAGCGCCGAGACATTCGGGCAGTACCCGACTGGCGCTCCATACGCCAGAGCGTAATGAGATGGTGCGGAAACAGTTCCTCTCCGAACTGGAACGCGCCCGGCGCGGCGTAGCCGCAGCCCAGAAGAAGCTGGATGGCGCCAAAACGGAGGCGGCCAAAGCGAACGCCCGTGCCGAATTGGCTGCGCGGGAAACAGACGCCCACGCCGCAGAAGTCCGGACGCAGGATTTTTATCGCAACCGAGATAATACAACCGCGTTTGAATATACGACGCGCGACGGCACCAAAATAACCGGTGAACAGGGCGCTAAGGCGTTTATCGAAAGTTTGGCTCCCGACGTCCGCGCTAAATACGATGCGGTAAACCGGCTGGCGACCAATTATGTCCTGCAAGTTCTGGAACAGCGGGCGGCGCAAGGTAACGGGCTGACTGCAGAAGACCTCGCGTATTACCGGGAACACGCCTCGAACTTCATTCCCCTGCGAGATGAGGAGGGTTTGGGGTTTACGGGTAGCCGGTCACCGGTGGGGCTGCGTGGTCGATCCTCCGGCGTGCAGAACCCGGAACGCCAGCTATTTGAATGGCTGGACGGTCAGACGCGTTCCATGTGGATGAACAGCTATAAGCGGTCGATCGTGGACGCAGTGCTAGATAACCCGGGCCAGTCGGTGTTGCTGGTCGATAAGGCAGATCCGGTTCGAGGGCGTGACGGGTTGTCGTGGGTTCTCCCTAAAGCGGATGAACCGAATACGACGTATGTGTGGTATCCGCCGGAACAGGCGGGGGGACCACCGGATCTCCGCCGCGTTACCGTATCCACCAAAACGCCGACCGGCCGCACTTTCGCGTCTATACTGACGAACCAGAACAAAGATGCGGCGTTCCAGTATATCGCGGGCACGACTCGCTTTATGTCATGGATGATGACGACTGCACGTCCGGCGTGGGCGCTTAAAAACCTTGCGTGGAATACGTTCCTTACCCCCTTTTCCTTGCAGTCGGCCGGCGGCCTTACCTTTGGTGAAGCGACTTCCCTGCTACCCGGCGCCAATGGAATCGGCTCCTACATGCGCAACGTCCTGCGTATGTTTCGGGCTGGCGTAAAACCCGGAGCCACAGACTGGAAACTGGCGGCTGCCCAACGCCTCGGAGCCGGGTCGCTTAATGACAGCCGGTTCGAAACTGGCAGCCTTGGGCGTCAGTTCGACTATGATTCAGCCCCGCTCCTCGATCGTCTTAAAGCGGCACCCGCCCAGACGCTTCTCGAAGGCGGCGGCCGGATCGCTGCGCAGGCGCTTCACATCACGCATACGCCGGATCTGGCGTATCAGTATGGAGCGTTCTGGACGTTTCTGGAACACTACGCGGGCCGCGAGTTCCAGAACGAAAACGAGTTCCGCGCCTGGTCGGCCGCGCCGGATAATCAGGAAATCCTTACCCGCGCACTGAACAGTAGCCGCCGTATCCTGCCGAATTTCGCCAATCGCGGAAGTGGCTGGAACGGAAGCCGTCTTCTGTCCGCAGTATTCCCGTTCTTCAACGCGACCGTGCAGACTGCCCCGTTCATGAAACAGATGGCTACCTCGGGCTACGGGCAGCTTGGCTTTGGTATGGCGATGGTAGCTGCTTACGCCGCGACCGAGGAAGCATACCACGAGTTCGGAGATCGAGCGGATACCATGCGCAATCAGGAGAGCTCGCTTTATCTGGGTCACGGCGTTGCGCTCCCTATGGATTACGCTTTCCACCTCCCGATGACCATCGGCGCAGGTATGGCCCGGGTTATTCGGGGGCGGCAGAAGCCGGAAGAGGTTCTGGCCGACGTCGGCCGGTCCGCGGTTTCATCGTTTTCCCCGATAGACCTGCCCTGGAAGACCCAGACGACCGGGGCGTGGTTGGAGAACCTGATCTTGCCTCCCGTGCTTCAGGCCCCAATCGCGGTGATGCAGGGCATCGATACAAACGGCCATCCTCTTTATAACGAAAACCCGACTGATGCTTCCGGGCACCGATTGATGAACGCTGCGGGTTGGCAGGAGGGTCGGCCGGCGGACAGTATCTGGGCGACGCAGGTAGCGCACGCCCTGCACGGCCTTAGTATGGGGCTGGTCAACCTCGCACCCGGCCAGGTCAGCACGCTCATTTCAAGCTACGCCCCGATCGTCGCTGACGCTGCCGACGGCATGGAGGGTATCCGCACTGAGCGTACAGGCCAGACGCCGGATGCGCTCACGAGCATACGGGATACGGTTGCCCCGGCCTTCACATCATCTCCCACGAATAGCGGCGAGCAGGCGCGATTTATGGGCACATATCGCAAGCTGGTCGGCCCTACGGCATCCAGTCAATCCCTTATGCGCGGCGATGCCGGACCAGAAGCCGCCGCGGCCGAGCGACTGAGATCACAGGCGTCTCACGCTGCCACAAACCTGCGCGTCGGCGGAATGACGTCGGCACAGATCCGCGCCGCGCTTGTAGTGGCCCAGCAGCAGCGCAACGTGGTAGAAACACGCAGGCTCTCAAACCTCTCCTCGGTCATGCAACAGGCGCAAAATCAGATCTGGGATGAGGCAGCGGACCATGTTGAATCGTTGGGGGACAGAAGATGACAGATGGGGAAGCCCAGAAAGTTATTGCCGGCATCGAAGCCGCAGACCGGTTCTGCCAGCGCAGGATCGAGCAGACGGAAGCTGAGTGCAAGCGGATGCTGGCAGAGACCGGGACGTGGATTGACGGGGCGCACACAGACGCGAACTGGTTCTGGCGTGGAGTGCAGAAACTGTTCTGCCAGGGTCCGTTGCGCCGGGGGCTGGATTTCGCCCTCGGAGCCGCGCGGGATTGTTATTGTTGCTCCGCTGTCCGCGGCATCCTGATCGGGATGGCGATTTCGTCTGCCGCGGAGATAGCTGTGCGGTTCCTCGTTTACTAAGGTTTCCACATTGGCGGCATGGGGGGAGCCGCCATAGGAAGCGGGGGTGGCGTAATCTTGGCGGGCACGATCTCGCCGTTACCCTGGACGACCCCGAAATTCCGTTCAACGGGCGCATCCACAATAAGCGCGGCCGGCACCTCAATCGCTTTGCGGATGAGCCTCGGCACGTCCCTACAGCCCGCCCCCATATCGATGGATATCCCGGTATGCACATACGCAGCCTCGGTCCGCAGCCACGACAGGAACGACGCCCACGGGATACCCTGCTGCAACATGTAATTCTGCAACTTCTTCTCATCCAGATATGCGGTATCCCGGTCCACACGGATGACCACGCCGTCACCGCGCAGGACTGACACGTCCGGAACGTCGAAGCCGGTCGCCTGCCCGCTACGAACGGCGATATTCGTCGCATACTGCGCACAGAACTGCGACAGATGGCTGCCCAGGTCAGTCTCCACGCGGTTCGCTTCGACGGTGCTGTCCATAAGGTTCGGCAGTTCGAGAAGCCGGCGAGCCGTGCTTTCATACTGCCAGCCCGGGGCGATCTGGTTGTCCACGATCCACCGCAACGCCACCAGACCACGGGCGACGTTCGAAATATGGTGCCGGTAATGCGACCACTGCGCCTCGCGGCCTTTAGGCTGCAGCACAGAAATAACATGGTCCCGCACTGCGTCTTCTGTCTGCCGCAAAAGCGTCTTCACGTAGTCCATATTATCGAGGATGAACTGCACAAACCGCGGACCGATATGTCCGTAATTCTCCTCGATCGCGTGGTCAAACGGGTCATTGCCGATACGCATGGTCTTCGGATCTTTAAGTGGAGAGCGGTAGGGAACGCACAGGATACGGCCCAGATTGGCAACCTTGTTCTGCGCGTCATCCATCATGGCGAACACCACATCCAGCGGCATATTGCTGGTTGCAAACACCGGGGCGTTCCATGTCCCGGAGCCACGAATTTCGGCGGTTCCTGTACGGTCCGCACGCGATACTTCCTTACCCTGCGTCAGTTCGAGGTAGAACGTCATATACTCCTGCGCTTTTTTGTCCCCCCGACGCAATGAGAACCGCAGATCGTCCGTGACGACTGGAATATCCCGATACGCGACCAGCCGGTTACTGACGGCGACGATCGAACTGTTCGCCACCATGCGCATACGGTTCGGGTCGCCCCACAAGCCGAGGCCGATATTGGCCGCCGTGGTCTTACCCTGACCCCCCGTCGGGCTGCTGGATATAGATGAGCCCGGATTTCTTGCTACTGAACGCAGCCAGCGGCGCGCCGAGCATCATCGACAGAATAGCTCTCGGGTCTTCATCACCAACACGCACCAGACGTCCCGACGGGTCGTAAACGGGTTCGGCCGAGAACTGCGACAGGATCTTTACCTGCGCCGCCAGAGACCCGCGCGTAGCGCCAACCGGGGCGATGAAGTCTTTTGCTCCGTCCCGCAGCCGGGCGGTGGTGGCCGGCATATGGCTGTGCAGCATCGTGGAGCCCAGGACGAATCCCAACTTCCCCTCGTTCTCGGTCCAGCCAAAATTCGTGTATTCCCGCTGCGGCTTACGCTCGCGCCGCATCAATTCAGCCTGGTGTTTCAGATACTTCGACACGCCGCCTAGTCCCTCATCTTCTCCGACAAACCCGGACGCACCGCGAGCGCCCAACAAACGGGCAAACGCTCCGCTGTCTTCCAGAACAGAACCCGGAATACGAAACATCTGCCCCGGCCGTTGTGTGCCGCGATCCCAGAACCGCACCAGATAAAAATAACTGTCCTCCTGCGTGCCCCGGTCCCGGCTGACCACCACGTCTATCAATTCAAATGGGCATCGCAGAACGATTTTAAACTCGGTAAGGATTTTATCAGTCTTTTTTGCACCCTTTATCGGCGCAACCCGACCGATCGCCAGCTTATCTTCGCCGCCCCATTGATATCCGTCCGGCAGCATAGCCCGAGGGGCGCCGTAGGAGGCGCGCATAGGGATAGCGCCCGGGAACGCCTCGAACGCCTGCTGAATCTGGGCAGTGTGACGTGGGTCCGGAATGGCCGGAACCGCTGCAACCGCCGTTTCTTTCAGATCCGGAGGCGTATCCGTGCATAGAGGATCGCTGTCGATATCCTCATCCGGGGTCGGCATCACCCCATCCAGATAGCAGCGTATGTCCGGGTTTTCGGCAGGGTCATCATCGAGCGGGGGTTCGAAGTCCACCCCGTCCCACATACCCTCCGACCCCTCGGGTAGTTCTTCATCCTCGGTATCACTGCACGCCAAAGGATCGACAAATAGTTCCGGCTCTATATCCGCATCGTCATACAGTTCATGGAACTGCCGAAGGCGCGGGTTATAGCCCTTGCCGTATAGTTCCTCGACTTCTGCTTTCGTCAGAAAGTGCAGTCCGCGAACCTCACTCGCAGCTTTTTTCGTGCCGTATTCCTGCGCCGCCCAGTACAGCGTGCCGACACCGATACGGGATTCCGTGCGCTCGTTATCGCTGTCCCATGTGTTCGTCAGCCCTTCCAGCCAATCGTCGTATGATTTGGACGCCCGGGAGGCCCACTCAACCGCAGCATCCCATGCGTTCGGGAGCGCAGTCCCTTTGATAGCCCAAACGACATTTCGATAAGCAGAATAGCTGTCGGCCGCGCCGCCGGCCTTCGCAGAGAAATCCGCCGGGATACGCTCCAACAAAAACCGCAGACGTGCCTCGTTCATCGGGCAATCGAATACTTCGTCCGAATGGTCGTTCGCTTTACGCCGGGTCACTTCCTTCTGCGCGGCCACCAGCGGTATGGCCCGGTCGGTCATCAGCGTATCGAGGCTGCGCAAAAAAGGCTTGGCGTCCAATGGTGGCGCGTCATGGATAATCTGGGCGAATGAGCCCGAGGCGCTGTTGCGTGTGTTGGGGATGCGTAGGACGCGGGCTCTATCACCCTGAACTGCGGGGTCCATCCGCAACTTATAGAACGCCAGCACGGACCACATTTTGTCGGATATCTTCAGCCACTCGAACGGCGTCAGATCCCGGTTCAGTGTCCAGAACGCCTGTACTCCGCGACCGGTCGAAACTATGCGCGAGGGGAATAGGCCGGTGCTGCTGCAGATATCCCAAAGATGCGTGATAGCTTCATCCGGGGTGGAGTACTCGCCGGGCTTACCGTGGCAGTCCAGATCCACCGCGTAGGATCGGAACCAGTGTGCGTCTGCGGCGTAGCGACGGGCGGCCACACCGGTCGGCCACTCGAACCCGGCGAGAGAGAAATAATAATCAGTCGCCCCACGCGACCGAAGGCTCTGGATAGCGCCATCTATATAGGCTTGATCGATAGCCTCATGCGGGTAAAGCCAGACTGGGGCAAAACCTTTAGAACGATCACCGGCCTTCATTCCAATGATGCCGACACGGCCTTGGAATGGGATAACGGACTGAATTACTGACACCGGACCCCCACGAAATTTTCCTGCCGCCCAGAATACCGGTGCGGCAGAATAGACCTATGCACCCCGAAGGGCGAGGGGGCACGCGCCCCCCGATCGTCAGAAGGGTATTTCGTCGTCCAGGGCTGCACCGAGGTTCTGCGGTGCCGTCATGGGGGGCATCCCCGGCGCGTTCAGCGGTCCTGCGACCGTAAGGTCAGAAAACTGCTGAGGAGCCTGCGGCTGTTGCGGCATAGCCGGAGCCTGCTGGAACTGCTGAGGAGCCTGCGGCTGTTGCGGCATAGCCGGAGCCTGCTGGAACTGCTGAGGAGCCTGCGGCTGTTGCGGCGTAGCCGGGGGCTGCTGGAACTGCTGAGGAGCCTGCGGCTGTTGCGGCATAGCCGGAGCCTGCTGGAACTGCTGAGGAGCCTGCGGCTGTTGCGGCATAGCCGGAGCCTGCTGGAACTGCTGAGGAGCCTGCGGCTGTTGCGGCGTAGCCGGGGGCTGCTGGAACTGCTGAGGAGCCTGCGGCTGTTGCGGCATAGCCGGAGCCTGCTGGAACTGCTGAGGAGCCTGCGGCTGTTGCGGCATAGCCGGAGCCTGTGGCTGGAACCCCTGCTGACCAATACCATAACCACCCATGGGAGCCTGCCCGTATGCCTGCTGGTTTGGCTGGAACCCCTGCTGCGGCATCTGGTCCTGTTGCGCGGCACCCCCACCCGGGAACGGTCCGCGACCCTGTTTGAACGCAACCCACTCGGTTACGGACTTGATGTTGCGGTCTCTCGACCCGTCGACCGGCATCCCATTAACGTAGTCTGTGTAAAGATCGCGGCCAGCCTGCGTCAGCATCTGAGCGACGGGTCCTGTTTCGAAATCAACCGCACATCGAACGGCGTTCTGATATGAATTTTTGGTCCCCCCGTCATCATACGTCCCGTCAATATACAGGCTGTCCCAATGCTGGATCATCGGCCGGTCGTAATTGAACGCCATCAGGGTGACGGTCGGAGGGGGAACGTTTGCCGCGTAATTGACGTCCTGCCCGGACACCGGGTCCTGGACGACGGGGTAACGAACGGATTTGATCCCGATATACGACTGGTTCGTGGCTGTGACTTCCTCGGCCAATTCAATCAAGTAAGCGTTACCCACCATCTGAAACAGGGACCGAAACTGAGAATTAGGGTCCATGTCCGTCATGCGCTGCTTCATGCGGGCGCGGGCGTTCAGAGAATAGTTCAAAACCTCACGCTTGACCGGGCGGCGACCGTCCACCTCGGGCCACGCCGGACCAATCAATTCATAAGCCAACTGCATCTCCCCGCGCACTTTGTAGCCAGCGCGGGACGTATAGTGCTGCTTACCGGTATAAATAGCGGCGCACAGCCGGCTCAACCCGTAACCCTTGGATACTTTGGCGCCCCCGGAACTCTCCTCGTGCATATCCGGAGTATCAGCAAAGTCCTGGGCGAAGTTCATCGCCGGCTGCTGAGGCTGGAACTGCTGGGGAGCCTGCGGCTGTTGCGGCATAGCCGGAGCCTGCTGGAACTGCTGGGGAGCCTGCAGCTGTTGCGGCATAGCCGGAGCCTGCTGGAACTGCTGGGGAGCCTGCAGCTGTTGCGGCATAGCCGGAGCCTGCTGGAACTGCTGGGGAGCCTGCGGCTGTTGCGGCATAGCCGGAGCCTGCTGGAACTGCTGGGGAGCCTGCGGCTGTTGCGGCATAGCCGGAGCCTGCTGGAACTGCTGGGGAGCCTGCGGCTGTTGCGGCATAGCCGGAGCCTGCTGGAACTGCTGGGGATTAAATGGCGTGTTCATGGCGTTCATTTCTCGCTGCTGTTAGAGCCCCGGGTCCGACGAAACTGGACCCGTTCAAATGGTGCGTAGGCCGCGCCCGGCGGCATACACTGATTCAGGTCAAAGACCGATTTCTGTTCCTTGGACAACTCGGCGTAGCCCAGTTCGCTCTTGCGTCGCTCGACATATTCTTTCAGGGGGCCGGTTTTCAATTCGTTTCCCAGAACCGATAGAGGGGTTTCGCCAGTCAAGATCGAGCGCAGCAGCGCCCGGTTGTCTGTTATGGTCATCCGCCCCGCAGTCGATAGAAAAAAGGTCCCGGCCGCGCTTCGGATCGAAGCGTTATCCATAGGGTCTTTCTCCGCGTCCAAGGCAGGACGCATCAGTTCCTCGATTGTCTCCATCCCCCGGGTAAGAACAGCGGCCCGGGCTTTTGTATCTGCTTCAAGACGATCTTTAGCCGACCGGAGCATAGAGTATAGCGCACCGAGGCGTTCGATCTCCTCCGGCAGCATAGAGTAAGTGTCAGTCATCGCAGTTTCTCCATGTCCTTAATGGCTGTAGCGAAAGGACATTATTACAGTGGCACAGTCTTGTCGCGGTGTCAAACCACTCCGGACATAAAACTGCTATAGAGTCGGAGGAGGTCCTGCTGGTTATTGCTACCTTCACCCAACTGGTCATAGCGCTCCCGCTCGGTCGCACAGCAGGCCAACTGCGCATAAAACATAGTCCGGTGCTGTCCGATGCGTTTTATCCTGAAATTGGCCTGCTGATACGGCTCACCGCGAAGGATAGGGGCATACCATACAATCAGGTTCGCCGCGGTAGCCGTGATCCCATGAGACATTTTCTGCGGAATGGCGACAATGACTTCCGCGCTATTCGGCCCGTCCGTCTGGAAATCACCGTTAATCGCGTCCCGCACGGCTTGCGGGCTCATCGAGCCGTAAATTTTCACAACCCGCTTCCCGGCGCGTTCCAGATACGCGGCGACCCGATGCACCACAGCAGTAAACGGAACGTAAACGATGGCTTTGCCGTCCACCTCATCGATAAGACGCAGCATCTCCTCGTTCTTCTCCCGGACGTCGAACTCCATAACCGGACGTTCAGAACCCTCATCGATGCCGGCGATGATCGGGTTTTCGGGTGTATCGGCATACACACAGCCACAGGCAATCTGAATGACTTTCGACAGGAGCGCGACGGGCGCTTTGATGGATATGGTCTGTCCATCGTCACCCTCATGTCGCTCCCCTTTACGCAACGTCGTCCACGCTTTTTTCTGCGCAGCGGTAGGCTTCAGGTCAGCCCGAGGTAGCGTCACGGTGGGCGGAAGATCCACACAATCTTCCGTGCGGCGGCAGAACGCCGGGCGCATGTAATTCATGACGACTTCATTCGCCCAAGGGGCAGCTTTCCAGATTGTTCGGTTGCCGACGTTTTCGGAAACCATTGTCGCCTTTTTCCATTGCTCCTCTGTCATGAACGCACCGCCCCATATCTCGCCCGGCGGGCATCGCTGCGCCTCGCGGTTTATGTTTCCGATCATTCGGATCTGTCCGTAGGCGTCCATAGGTGAATGGGCAGTCGGCGTGGCCGTCATCAACCACAACCGCAATCTCGGGTTCGGCCGGACCAGAGCATCCAATCCGCGCCATCGATCTGTAGAGACGCGTTTTATCGCGGTGCTTTCGTCATAAATAATCAGATCGTAGTTATTTTCCGCCAGTTCGGGCCAGAAATGGGCCGGCCCGTCGTGATTAATGATATGGACCGGGGCGTCCGACTTCATCTTCTTCAGGCGTTTTTCTGCGTTGTCGTCCGTGAGAACTGTGAACGACATGTGCGGCAGATGGGTCTCGATATCCTCTGCCCAGGCCGAGTACAGCGTGGGCTTATAGACGACGACCAGAACCTTCCTGACTTTACCCGTCAGCAGCAGATAGTCCGCGGCCCACGACGCAGTCAGCGTTTTGCCGCTACCAGCCCCGGACAGCATATAAGCCCGCCGATTGCGGGCGAGAAAATCAGCCCCCTGAATCTGGTGGACCATAGGCGTTTTCTGAAACATCGGGAACGAATAATCCCGAGGCATCGGGGATACACACTCGATCCCGATATTCGCCAGCGCATAGGCGTTATCGTAAGTCCAGGGCACGCGCACCTGGGCTATGTCACCATTAACCCAATCGCAGGTCAGATCCGGGCAGACAGAATACGGCAGTCGGGGGTCAAACTGCCCCTGCACAACCATATACCCACCTTCGATAGATACAGCCATGGTTCAGCCCTCAAGGGCGCACTGGCTCAAAACGGCTCTGCCTAGCGGGGTAAGGGACCACGGCGCGTTCACATGTGGGTTACGCTCATCCCCGGGGGCGCCGACCGCAAAGCCAGCGCGGCGTATTGTAGTGAGGCGGGGGGCGAGCCACCGGCCGCCGACCTTACGAGCCTCTTCTGGTTCGAGGGTGGCATACAGATCCGTGGTGCCCCAGAAATCCTCCGGATAGTTTACCCGCAGCCACTCCCACAAGGTTCTCTGGTCGCCGGAAGTCGCCTCGATCGCCCGGAGGATCATCACTTCCTTGGGTTGCGGGCGCGGTCCATTCTCCGGGGTGACTACCTCGAAGGTAACTTCCCCCCGGTTTGACCACCCTATACCGCCGGCCATCATCTGTCCGACGGGCAGTTCCGTTGTAGTATCCTGCGCCAGATTATCAGGCGCATGGACGACGATAACCAGATACCCCACGTCATAATCTCCTAAATCTTAAACCGTTCCGGGTGCTGTCCCATGAACGTCATCAACTGCTGGTCCGTCATGTCCGCTATTTCCGGCATAGAACCCTGTAGCCTCTGTCTTACAGTGGCACACAAAATTGCGATAGGGTTTTTTTCTTCGCGGCCCTGGGATCTATCAACTTTCTGGATCTCTTCCCGGCCACGCTTCAGGGCGACCAGAATTTCCTCCATTTTGGGGGTGACCAAATCCACAATAGCTTCAAACGCGAGGCTCCGCTGCCGATAAAAATCCGCAACGGCCTGCCAGTCTACCGGCGTCTCTGTCATGGCTTAAACTCGCATTTCACGGGGCATTTCTCACAGAGCCGGCCGGCGTTCGCCGGTGTTCCCTCGGGCCATGCCCGGGATTGCAGTCGTGCGGCCATGGCTGTCGTGATAGCCGCCACATGCTGCGAACACTCCCAGGCTGGCATCCCCCGGTCGGCCACAGTCTGGTAGGAGCCGGGCCAACGGTCTCCGGGAAAGTATGGACTGGTTGGCCACAGAAACACAGCAGCGTGCAGTTTACCGGGGATCAATGGCGTCCCGTAAGCGTCCGGATGATCCTGCCCGTAAACCAGAGCGCACAGCGCAAACAGCCGGGCGAGGCGCGCTTCAGGCGACGTCTCTCCACCGTCCATGGCGAACAAATAACTGTCCCCCTTCTGTCCCGGCTCCGGGTAAATCAGAATATCGACCACCCCCTCAAGCCACGCGTCACCCTCGTTCTCAATGAGTGCGCCGCTCATGTGGTTTATGCGGATATCGAGGGAGAAAGCGGCTGTCCGCTTCGCCGCCAGTTTCCTCGCTTGGTCGTGGACCAACATCGCAACAGTATCCGGCGTCGGTGCTGCCACTGCTGCCCCCAGTACCGCCCGCGTGGAGAAATAGGAATGAGCGGGCATGTCCGCGCCATAGGTTCCACGCCACAACCGAGGGCATGAAACCCAACATTCGATTTCATCGGCGGTTACTACTCTATCCGGACTGGTCAGTTCATCGTCCGGTATAAATTCAGCCATTATTTACTACCTTCGAAAATGGATAGTGGGATGAACCAGACCGGCAGGATTTCTCGCATTTCTTCCGCCCCCCAATCAGAGACCAGTCCGTCTGTCCACGCTCCGTATCCGTCGTTCATGTCGGTGTCCCACCAGGCCACGGTACAGAAATCTCCACAGTGGACAAAAATTCGGCTTCCCTCTTTTGGGGCCAGGTCTATAGACTTCCACAGGACAGACAGCATCTGATTGAAGACGTCCCGGTAACCCCGCTGCTCGGCTTCTATCAGATGCTGGGTGAGTTTCCCCTCGGTCAGATCCTCGGCAAAAATGAACCGCTCGCCATCTACCAAAAATTCCGAACGGACCTGTTCTTCTCTAGTCCGGGCCATTACCCACAGACTCCAAAAACGGAAAGAGGGATATAATGGGTTGGTTGTGCGAGACGCGCATCACCCGTTCGGTAGGCGTCCGCACTATTGGCCCAATAAGGGCGCGGCTTACGCGCATGACGATCATCGCAATATTTACCCCGATCCACCCTGGCGGCGCGGTAGCCCACGGCGGGGATCAAAAGCAAAACATCCGTCCCGTCTTTGGGGGCGTCTTCAATCGGCCTACGCATCGCGGCGAGGGCCGCCTCAAGCATAGCCGAAACCAGCTTGCGGGGATCGCCGGGCACAAGCTGATTTTCATTTACCTGGAGCGCAGCCTCGATCATTTCTGGCGTCGGCTTCATGCTACGATATCCCCACTAATTGCGGCCCAAATCAATATGGCAGCCACAAGCATTACTATGACGGCCATAACCCAACACCCGGAAGCTAACAGCCCCACGGTGATGGTCCCGAAAAATAGAACAATGGCGATGATCGCTGGGATCATGATACACCCCCCGCTCGTTTATTCCACGCGGCGCGTGGGTCTTCATGAGGCGGCATCGCAGACGGCCCCTCAGCTAAACACGTCGCACACTGAACAAATTCCTTGGTGTCCGAGAGGGATACAAGGACCGACCCGCAAAACGGGCACGGTTTCAGTTTCTCGGTCATGATGCGGCTCCGGCGATACGTTGGGCCGCTATCCCCACCCGGTCAGTTTTAGCCGGAGCGGGGAGCGCATTTATCCGGCGCAATATCTCCCGCAGTCTCTCCACCTCAGCTTGTGCTTGGCGCCAATAAACCTCCAATCCGTCACGCGCATCCGCCATTTGTGCCACCTCAGCCTGTTTCTCTGCGAGCG